TTTAAGCTGTCATCAGTCTATATTGCTGCTTGAATTGTCTTGCTTCATACGGTATGAGGCTGTCCTCTTCCCACTCTGAAAACTGCCTTTACATTCATTGCTGGCATACTTGGAATGAGAAGGAGAGATAAATATTTTACGAGGTAATGGTCATGTTGTCACTGCATTTGAAAGTACAGTCAAATGAGTTTTGCAGTACATGTTGAGAAAGAGGATGGTCCAGAAAGCACTCTGGTAAATTAGTACTGTCCTTAATGTGTGTGATCTTGCATTCCTTACCTAGCAGAATAGTCCCACTAACTTTAAAGTCGAATGCTGAAAGGTCATTGCGAAAATTAAGGATTATTGGGGGACATTTTCGAAGCAGAAAAAGGAAAAGAGAAAAACTTACTGTGCCATTTAAAACCCTCCTGTCTCATATCTAAAGGTAACAGAAATGTAGAGGAGGACAAATGCAGAGGTAGACACTAAACTCCAAACTAGAGCAGCTGGGCTGTATGAGCAATTAGTTGATGAAGCTGTATTTCTGCCATCAGGCTTAATTCTGCCTCTTGATTGTCCTCTAGGGATTTAAAGACTTCATTTCTACAAATATATTTCTTTCTCCTCCTCTTCCTTCTCCTTTACCTTTCTTGCTGTCTGCCATTTTTCCATCAAAACCAGGGGAGGGCATCCTTTATTTGAGATTCACCTGAGTCTTTCCCTTGCTAAGGATGTGACAAACGTCACAACGTGTTCAAGGCGTTTCACATGAACCCACATAAACTCCATAGGGCAGGACAGAAGTGAAGTTCAACCAGCAGGCATTGTACTTGGCTTGCAGACCATAGCACACTTTTGAATCAGTTATTTGGGTATGTAGCTGTCTTGCTTATCTTGTACTCCTAACACAAATCCATGACTGTGTTAACAGACCAATTTATAATGTTAGATGGTGAGTATGGCTGTAGATTTACTTGGATTAAAAGAGAGACCTAAAGAGCCTATACTTGGACCGCGACTCCAAGTGATACTTCAATATTGGTAAGGTGAATTCCTGAAAACCAGTGGAACTGAAGTAAGAAGGGTATTGGTGTAACCAGGTTGTCTGATGAATGATGTGCGTTTCTTGATCTAAGGTTTGTGTTGCATAGCAGAAGAGATGGGTGACTACTGTGCCTGGAAACCATGAGCTCTTCACAGCAATGGGTAGGGAAATGGGTGATAAAACCTTCACTGTAGTGGGAAAAGAAGGCTGGATGAGGTACAGTGGGTTTTCCTACTCTGAGGAAGGGAAGTGAGGAGAGAACAGGTCCTTTTTTTTTCTTTTTTAACAATACCCATCTCTGGTATTGAAATATATAGTGGTCTCTTGGTTTTGTGGAGATTGAGTGCCTGAGGAGAAGAGGTCCCTCCAGTAGATCTAACCAAGGAGCAGTGAGCTGGGTCGGGGTTACTGCCACCCCACACAAACACGTGTTGCTGGTTAAACAGCACAATGCCATCCTTGTCAGGCACTGTTAGTGGGGCAAACTAAAAGCCATCTTCTGGCTAATTCTACCAGCTGTGGGTTGGGTTGGAGATGGAGAAAACAGCCATGTAGCAAGTGGTGCAGGGGTTGGCATACAAAGATTTCCGTTACCAGGGAATATTGTATCCCATTTATGAGCAGAGCTTGTTCCTTTACTGGAAGAGCTATAGGTCACCAATATCCCTTCTGTACAAGAGGCTTACTGAGCCTTGTATGTGTTTACATGTTTGTCTGACTTGTTCACTTCCATAACCTTGCATATTCCAATGTTCTTATACAGATTGGTTGTGCGTATGTCTTGCATATGCACCCAAACAAACCAACGAACACCACCACGTAGGAACAAGACCACTTTTAAGTTGACAAAGTTTTTCTGCCTGTCAGATACAATTACTAGCTTTCTTGGGTTGCTCAGTAATTTTTAAGGCAGATCTCTGCTGCTTACTGCCTGGCAAGATTTAGTAGTTATTTGTATCAAATGTATCATGGAGGGGTACTGCATCAGCAGAGAATCAGCAGTGTCAGCTGCTACAATATTTCTGTCAGTCTTTTGCTTGTTTTTTAAAGAGCAACATTTTCCTATCAAATGAGTCAAACCGACATGGTCAGAATTTGACTACATCCAGCCAGAGGGAAACTTTCAGTAAAGCAGTTAATTGTACCCAGGGAAAGCTGCAAAAGTAGCTTTGCATCAAGAGGCTACAGTAGAACTGGGAAAAGAGTAATAAATAATGGTGCTAATTTGTGGACTGAGAAACAACAAATTCTTTTCTTCATCCAGTCTTACTCCTAGATGGTTTGTTGATCACCTCTGTATTTATTTTTGGGGTGGGGTTTTTGTAGTAGTTAAATACATGGAATACAATGGTATCATCTGTACCACTATAGGCACCACTTCTGATTTTTTAAAGTTAGCTGAACTGAAGAGATGGAGGGAAGAATCAGTTTAGATTGAAGGTTTTCTAGCTCTTCTCACTTAAGTGAAGAACTCATTCTCTTAGTCCTGAAAAATTATTTAGTGTAATTCAGGGCTGTTATTTCAGGTGTTAACCACTATAAAGAACAGTGTTCAACTTTGTGATATTTGAACCATTTGAAAAATCTTCGAGTGTTTATGCTGGAAAATACAGGGCAGCATTTAGTAAAGTGAAACATTTACCAAATTTAAAAGTAGTTAATTTTTTGAAAGTGTCTTTTTGTAATTTATTAAGTGATGCATTCCTCCAACAATTCAGGAAAATCTAGTGCCCAAAGCCTCCAGCCAGGTTTTTGATTCCAGTGTGGTAGGTGCTGTACAAATAGTGTGAGAAAATAGACAAGTCAGACAGTAGATGAAAAATTAAGACTTTTTCCCAGGCTGTGTGATTTTTGCCCTGCAGAGAGGCAGCAGAAGCAGGAAAAAATATCTTCTCCGCATCCTGAACAAGTGCCTCTACTCACTGCTCAGTTCTGCCTCGGCTGAAATGGCCACTGGGCACAGTGATGCCAGTGGACACCTAGAAGTGCTGTCTTCTGAGAAGATCTCATAGCCATCACTGAGAGGCTCTGCTTGAGGAACAAAAATAAATTTTCTAAACTCAACTGTGCTACCAGGAAGAAGCAAAGTAACTTAAAGTGTAGAGTTGAAGATACTTTGAAGGATAGATGTGTGTGAATTGCTTGGAGGTTTAGAGCACCCTTTATCCCCCTCACTTGAAAGTTCCAGAAATAGGGGGTTCTCCTCAAAGCCCTGTGTAAAGACAACCAGTAGGTTGGTGGTGGTCATGTTGTGTGAATGATACTAAAGTCATTTTCTCTCCGGCTGTTTGGGATTAGAGATACGTGGGACAAAGAGATCTGGTGGTGTTGACAAGGGTCAATTTTTTGAAGTGCAGATTTCTTAAGAAGGACTGCAATTTTGGGAACATTCACTTGGAAAGGAGATCATGGCTCCAGAAGGAGAAACAGAGAGATGCATTCACTTGCCTTAGAATATCAAGCTGCCTAAAGAATTAAGACACTTGTTATTTTGTGGGTTTTTACATATTTAAAACTAAAATGCTCATCCCAAAGCCATGATGACACTCTTCCCCTGTCCCCCCATTGAAATCTGAAAATGTTGAAGAATCTTCAGATCTGTAGATGGCAAAATAACTTTCTGGCTGGTTCTCTCATCAGTGCAGGTTGGTAATTTCTTTGCCTTTCTAACCCAGTACTTTTTTCTTTTTTCTTTCATTGGATAAAACAATCCATTTGGTCCTTGAAGAGTAAAGAATGAAGTCCTTCAATCTTAAATATGAGTGAAGGGAGAGTCTGGGCCATTGCAGAGTGGGAGACAGAGGTTATCAGAAGTCTTCTACCACTGCTTTCAAGTCACTGTAAGCACCATGTCAGATCTAACGCTGTGAACACAGACTGTAAGCAGGAGCTCATTTCTGGATCCCTTTTTTTTCTGTCAAAGCTGCTTTGTTGTCCTTGCTTTCTGTTTCTGCATTCATCTCTGCTACTAGCATATATACTTTTCTTGCTTTTCTCCCTTACATTTATTTTCCTATTTGCTTCCTAAGATCCTTCTGAATCCGTGATCCTACATAATCCTCCTTAGCAAACTTTTGCCACTTTTTTGTGAAGATTTCCTCATATTCTGATGTAGCAAGTCAGCAAGGCAGGTTAGGTGTAAGCTGCACCTCAGCATGTCCCACAGTGAGTGAAGGATGTGTTGCCTCTGTGCCTTGCTTCACCCGGGCTGGGCTCCCAGCCTTTCTCTCGCTCTCCCCACTTTGCCTCTTCTGTGGGTCATTACTCCAGATTCCCTTGTTCTCATGCTTCTATCAGAGCATCTCCCTCATCCCAGCTTTTATTATTCCTCTTCTTCCTCCAGGCCTGCTCAGGATCCAGTACCGCAGCTACTGGACTGGGTCCCTTTTCCCCCCCTCCCTGTCCAAGCATCTCTGCTCATCCCCAGTTCTGCGCAGTAAAGGTAGAAATTGCTTCGCCTCACAAAAAGCCAGAGGAGTTTTATTCATCTGACAGCTTTTCCTTTTCTCCCTGGCTCTCATCTGCAGCGAGTATTTTTTGCACAAGTGCTCATCCCCGAAGCTAACAATAAAACTGTCGGGGTGTGTGTGTGTGAGAGAGACACGGAGAGAAGAGGGAGGGAGCGAAAGCAACGCAAGAGTCTGGCAACGTGCGGCGGCACTGGAGAGCTGCTAGACCAGGGACGAGCCCCTTAGGCTGGGCTCAGCCTCAGCCCATTGGTTCCTCAGCCGCTGGTTGAAAGCGAAGCAGAGCTTGGAGGGTTGGACTGCACAGCCAGCCACGGACTCTCAAGCCAAGTTGTCAGCACGCTGGGAGGAAGACGGGCTCGCACACGGGAGATCGCGGGGTGTCCGCAGCTTGATGTTCGTTTGTTTCCAGAGAGGAAGAAAGGAGAGAGGACAAAAACAAACAAAAAAAAGCAACAGAAAAAGGGGAAGGAGCCTGATCCAGTCCAGCAGTCCCGGGGGCAATAATGGATGTGACCGTATCTCAGTTCATCTTAGAAGAATTTGATGTCAACTGCAGCCTCCTGGATCGTTTACAAGAGACTTTTTTAGAGAGTTCCTCTGTCCCTTTCCTGGGCTTTGATGGTAGGAAACGTTACCTAGCGCAGGGCTCGGAGAAGTGTTGAGATTCGGTTTGCTTTGTGATGCAAAGTGTGTCGCTTTTGTGTTTTCTCAACTGCTGCCTTTTCCCTTTCTGTCTCCTTTTTTTAACGCAAAAGGTCCGTACTGCAATGCCACAACTGATCAGATCGGGACCTGCTGGCCCAGAACCTCGGCGGGGGAGCTGGTAGAGAGACCCTGCCCGGAGTTCTTCAATGGGATCAAATACAACACCACGAGTAAGTACAAACTCCTTTCCTTCTCCCACGGATAAAAAAAAAGAGAGAGAGAAAAAAAGTGTTTGCCTGCGAATCAGCATTTCACCCACATTCCAGCCAGTATATTCAAAACTCCTGCCTGGAATGATGCACATTTCTCAAAAGCACAGACTTTTGGACACGGATTACTCTTTGCTCAAGTATATTTACGTAGATCTGGGCAAAAATACCCTCTGCAATCTAAGGAGTGTATACTGTGCTTTGTATGTTCATTCATGTGTAGATGTGTTTAGCTGAATGTATTTGTAGCAGTGCTTCAGCCATTTAGATAATTAAAGATCCTTTGACTTGTGAAGTGCTTAGTCTTAACACCTCCGAAGGATGTTTTGAAAGGACTCTCCCTTTGAGAGGCTCTCTGTGTGAGCAGAGGGACAAACTGGGCTGGAAGTTGTATCTGACAAAGAGAAGGCTGGGGTCTGGAATCTGTTTAGTAACTTCATCAGCGGTTGCCTTACGAGGCTGGGGTGGCTGTATCATTACTGCAAGAGAAACAGTGGAGGATATTATGAGGCAAATAATATTCAAAGCAAGGGAGTATGGGGGCTCCTTAGAAATCTCTTAGAACTGATGCTTTATTCTTAGAGGTAAACAATCATGATGACTCACTAAAAATTTATTATTCAGGCTGTCGGACCAAGGCAGTCATTTCCTTATCTGTCAATACTTTTCGACCTTTCATTAAGAGGTTTTAACATATTAGTTCCAAACATGTGTACCCACTCATTTGTCACTCATTTTTTCAGACTACTCAGTTTGCTTTTGGGGACATTTCATTCAATCTTTCATTCTGAACTGTTGCTCGGGTCTTAGTAGTCGAATTTTCACATACTGTTAGTTTTATGGGGCTAGTATTCTCACTAAGCCCTGTAAGAGAATGATTTTGTCACCTTAGACCTAATTTTTTAACTTTTTGAAAGTGAATTTATTCTTTCCCCAGGTCTACGTGTCAAGGGTCAAATAACTAGACAAAAGTTCTGTGTATTTGCTATGCAGAAAGAAACCCTCTTCCAGATCTGTTCTTACAGACTGGTTTCTGTCAGCCTTGACTTTGAGCAGAGTAAGGAGGTTACCTCTGAGAACTGCAAGATCATCCTCAAACTCTATATTCTCTGACCTATGCTCCTTGCAATAAAATGGGTGGGAACATGCAAAGGCCTGGGTTATGCTGGCTTTGATTATAGCAGGTAGTCCACCACCTTTACAGTCTCAGCTGAGATTAGAAGAAAATTTCTGAGAATTAAGACAGCTCAGACAAAAGCAAGTGTATCAGAATGGACCCTAAGAGAACAGACACAGGAAAGGTACCTCAAGGAAGTATGGCTTTTTTTGTTTTTTCCATTTCCTTTTTTTGGTGGACGATGTCAGTATTTCCATTGCCTGATTTTTGTTTCTCCAAAAGGAAAGAGGGAAAAAAAATAAATACATTATGGATGATTCCTTATTTATATCAGAAACACAGTGGAAAGAATTTAAATGCTTATCCCATACACAGAAGAAAATAAGTCTTGAGTGCCTCATTTTATTTTGATAAACTCTGTTAGTGCTTTCAGTAGTTCATTCATGACCTGATTTAAAGTTCTTCCTTGCTCCTCTCCTTCTTAATGGTGGCTAATGCTTGTATCACAGTTCTAATAAATTTTCTTAAATTCATTGCTTTTAAAAAAATGGCATTAATTAAATTAAAGACTGGTGAAAATGTTTTCTTGAAATGCTGAAGCATTATTTTGTCAGAGTCTGGGGAAATAGACATTTTTCTCCTTTCAACATAAAATGTGAGTTGAGAAGATGTATATCAGCAGGACTGATTGGTAGTGCATACTGGTGCCCAGATGTGGAAGCATCTGTAGCTTGCAATAGAGAGCTAAAGTATGCTGAAGGCGCTGTAGGTGCCTTTCAGTTGGTCTTATACTCTTCCATGTGATGTAGCTCCTCCAAGTTGTGGCACAGAAAAGGAAGGGAAGGACTATACCGAGATTGGAGTCGACTTGTAAACTCAGTAGCTTCTTGGGACAGAATAGTTGGTAATTAAGGCTTGGGAAAGCAGTAGGGCAGCAGGTGAAGATTAGCATACAGAGGTGCAATCTCTTTTGTGATTTGAAAAATGTGGCAACTGGTACGTACAGAACATGTGCAAAGTTTGGGAAGGCCAAATAGCGCCATGGTCTGACTGCTTTTGCTTGCAGGGTTTCACCAAGTTAGTTTGTGCGCTGACTAGAGGGCTGTTTGTAATGAGACTCAACGTGCTTAAAACCTGAGACTGTGTACCTTGTGCAGATTACAAAATAAGCACGGACAACTGATAAAAAACGGGAAGTGGATTTTGCGAATTTCAGAGGTGAACAATACAGCTGCAAAGTGAAGGTTTGATCAGGAGATGGCTTCGATCAATGTAACACTTCTGCCTAGGACATGTAGTGTAGTTTTGTCCTGTTTTGTTTTGCGCTTTGATGAGGCAAAGGAGAAATAATGGTGTGTAATGTTGTCCTGAATTGTTTTTGAGAGCAAAATCAGGCAAGTTTAGAAAAAGCACTGTGCAATGCCTTTCTTCTTCTAAGGGCATATCCAGTTCTAGGCCGTAACTCCGCTATTTATTATACTGCCGTGCATCCCATGTTTGTGAGGTGCCACCTGTTAGCATATCTTTAGTTTGGTTTTGTGTGGCTGTGAGTATATTCCTTGTTCTAATGTGTGTAAAACTTTTGGATCAGTTCCTGCCAGTTTCATAAAAGTAGCTCATCAGCTGGAGGGAATGAACCCAGTAGCATTCCCCGTAAACAAAAGCTTTTGCATTGTAAATACTAGAAAATCCAGACTTGGAAGTGCCCAAACTGTACGAAAATCTTATACCAGATTCATCAAGCACAAGACGCTTGATCCATGGCAAACCAGGCTGCCTGAGTTCTGGTACTTATGGGGCTATTTCTGCGCCTTATTGTAGTCCCTGTGCACGCAGAGTATGGAATTCAAGAAAAAATGTGACAAGGATGTCGCTCTACAGGTCAGCTCGTCAAAGGCTTTGGATGGACCTACCCTGGCTTGGTATCCACCTTGTCAACTGTCGTTGCTTTGGTTGTTGCTCTGTCTAACTCAGGAGCTCTGAGTGCTCGGATGGGGACTGCTATCAAACCCTGCAATATGCCAGCAAAATTTAACAAAAGGGTATTTGAGTCAAAAAACTTAAGAGCAAGAACTGGTGGGTAAAAAAAATCCTCTCCTGTTTGCCATTAAGGAATAAACTGTTTGCATAAAATATTTCCATTCGAACTGCAAAAAATTCCCGTGGTGATTTTGTGCATGCGTCTGTGTTTCTGCCTGTCTCTTGGGGACTGCTGAGTGACTCAGATAAGTTTCAGCTGGATTCGTAAAACAAGGTCTGTCAGTCTGTGAGTATTTTTCATCTCCAACATTTTTTTATTTTGGTAATTTTTTTTCTCCCTCTTTATTATGGAAATAAAGTCATACTGACAAATCAAGATCTGGTTACCCTGTAGTGTGCTTGTGAGTACAGGCGAAATGTTCTTTGACCAAGGATCTGAAAATGATGCCATCCACTTACAATTTCGCAATTTTGCAGAAAAGCTCATGTATTATCTCAAAGGAGAAAAAAAAAGGGAAAAATGTATGTGTTGCTGCAGTGTGTGGCTGTGCACTTGTCTCTACTCAGGATCTATATTTAGCTAAAGATGACAATATCATTGCTGCCCTCTAGATGTGTTTGTGCTTTGACAGTGTGAAGCTTTTATTCTTGTTTTAGGAAACAGATTAATTCACTTATTAGAATATCCTGAAGCTTGATTAATTCAGCAGATGGGCAGTAATGAGACTCTTTTTGCTGCTTGTGAAAATGTGGTCGTACGTGTAAATACTTACAGCATGTTACAGGCTAAAGTATGTCTACTTTAGCTCTTTCCTTTTCCTACAAATTGCCCCGTGCAATGAGGAAATCCAGGATTAGATGTTCATCTGATAGTAAGTGTTGTCTCTTGTAGCTTTAGCTGTCTGATTTGAGTTTGTCTACAACTGCCAGTGCAGCAGAGGGGTATTCCATGGTGAGACCTGTCCATCAGGGGCTGGTCAGCTTGGTGTATGCAGGTTGCAGGCAGGAGGTGGAAGCATTGGAAGGCCTCCAGCTTGCGGATTAAGACACACAAATCTAGGTATTTCTGTGTAGGTATCAACAGCTAATTTAAGTATGTAAGCTGTAATAGAACTGGTATTGGGAATAAAGTGTAGAGAGTTACTCAGCTTAACCTAAATGTACAGATTAGTTCAGGAGTCCATGCAGAAGTGCTAGGACCATTTGATATGTCCAGGGGTATCTTACATGGTATCTAGTTCCTGCTTCAGAGGGCCCAGGCCTTGTGTAGGTTTGTGTTTTATCTTCCAGGCCACATAGGTGTTGTAGATATTCTAAGACAAATGATACGATGCAGCTGAATTCATCTCTGAACTGAACCCGCACCTGGATACTGAGATTAGGAGGCCAGACTGCTTTTGTGATCAACAGGAACACAAGATCTCCATAGCTCAAACTCCCTCTCTCCAAATCCTCCTCCCTCTCTCTCAGTATAGGAAAGCTCTTTGACTGAGATAGATAGCCACTTCACATGAGTGGTTTGGGTATTGCAAAAAGCATCCTTATCTTCTCCAGGGATTATGATGCTAAAAACAGGCACATAAGCACTGCTAACTTTGCACTGATGGGGATTTGGTCCCTCCTTGCCTGCTCCTTGTTCTGAGGGTGTGTACAGCATGGTGTACATACCATGTCCTGGGGAGCATCAAGCACAGCATAGGTGATTGTCCCACTCTACATTGCTCTGGTGTGGTCCCACCTCAGCTATTGTGTGCAGTTTTGGGCACCTTGATATAAGAAGAACATCGAACTATTAGTGTGTCCGGAGGAGGGTGACCAAGATGGTGAAGAGTCTTGAGGGCAAGACTTAGGAGGCGCAGCTGAG